GGTTTAGTGTTTACATATATATTTATTAGTTGCTTATAAGAATGGTTGCAGCAATATTCCTTTCATTTTGACTACCGAGTTTCTTGCAGATTCAAGATGATGATATGTCAAACATGGAAGATCTAGATGTACATACAACAATGCAAAGAAACAAGAATAATGATTTTAGCTTTCCAGTAGAGGGTTCATCCCTTGAAAGTCCGAATCACCGAAGTGCTGCCGCTAGTCAGGAGGTTTTACTGTCTGTGATAACCTTTACTAAAATTTATTATTGACGTGGAAAAACTAGCATTGTTCCTTGAATCTATAGCGCTCAAATAGTCCTTTGACTAACTAAACATTTTCTGGCATCTTTTTCCCTTTTATTTTGTTTTAGGATGGTTTCAGTGATCTACATTATTTGGAGAGTTCCCTTGCTTCTTTCCCTACAAAACCTCTTGAAGCACTCAAGTATGGTTATTTTAAACTCTGAACCAATTGTCAGTTTTCCAGTTTGTATTGCATTTGTATTTTACTTTATAATTTTTAAAATTTTGAGGTGGATCTTGATCCGATAATTTAAGGAGAAATTATGTAATTTTATGTCTTGATGCTCCAATGCAGAGATTGTTTTGACATCTATGAAGATATAAGCACGGACAGTGTAAGGCCAGTCAATAGGGAAAATGGAAGAATCGAGGGTGAGAGTTCAGGGCAAAGTGGTCCCCTACCACGTCATTACATGTCAGAGAATAAGAGGTCTTATAGTGGTTCATTAATTTCTGACAATGCTGGTTCTCCTAAAAAGATTGTTGTAGATGGTGATAGGTAAGATTTATTCTGATTAATATTTGGGTTTTTGTCCATGCAATATGTTTTTCTGGTCGTGAGAGAAGTCAACGTCCACCTTAGATGATAAGCTTGTTACTTGATGATGGGTTTTTTTTTTCGTTTCTTCTGGATATTTAAATTTGTGCTTCAAGTTCAAGTGGAATTTTATATTTTATGTTCTTTATCTCAAGTGTGAGGGATCCTTGGCCATCTCCTCACACAACAAACGCTATTGATGCCGAATACAAATCGCGGCCAGTATCTTAATGGAATCTATGGTGTTGCTTTTAGTTTTAAATTCGAAATTAAATTTATCAGTCCAAGATACATGTTTTCTTTTGGTTGCTTAAATGTTTCTGTTTTGGATGTTCACAATGTGGTTTAGGCAAGTCTGACATTATTATTATTTTTTTCAAACTTCAACGAAGGGATTATGTGCAGTCAAAATTTCCATCTGAACGTAATTTCAGTGGTCCATTATTATATCGCCAAAAAAGAGATACAAATAACATATCATCTGGTATGTCTTTAGGCTTCTATTTCTCTCTGGGCTTAAATTATTTCTATGCTAACAACTTTAAGGTCACAATATTCTTGCTTATCATATTCAGTTGAGGATACATCAGATGGAACAGTAGTTCAATGCAAGGGGCGGTTTAAAGTTACTTCAGCGGAGCTTAGTCCGAAGGTATTTTTGCATTATTTTGAAATCTTGTACAGAACAAAATCTCCTTTCTGATTCTGATCATGTCTAGAAGGGAAGTATTGTAGAGATATAATTTTAGTAATTTGCAGAGTGCTTATCTGTTTGACCATATTAGGGAGAAAAAAAACTCAGGTTAGGTGGTTCGGTCACGTTCTTTCTTCTTGTGCTTTCTGATTATTTTCAGAAAGATGAACTCTCTTTTTGCAAATTTTGATTATGCTCGTGAAAACGTGCTAGCTTCTCCAGTTTAAGATAATTTTCCCTAATTGTGATTTGTGAATGATTTATTTTGAATAATTTTAACAAAATTTTGACATTAAGATATTTCTCTTTACTTTGAAATTGGGGTTTATTCTCTTTTCAAATTTCTTTGTTTCCGTGAATGAATGTTATCTTTGATTTTGTTGCCTGTTATTTCCATTTCATGTCACTCATGCTGATCACGGCCAATTGATATCTTTTGTTTGCTTCTGCATTATTGACTTTAGTTGAGGCTCTGGTACCTTTGATTGGTTGAAATTTTTCCCATCAAATCGATCCCTTCTTTTAAGTGAATTTTTCATCGTATCAATCTTCAATTCATTGTCCACTTTATCAAATTGGGTTTTGTGCAACGTAGGATATGGCTACTGTAAACAAGTTGAGCAAATTTTGGTAACTTTAAACATGTATCATACACAGAATTTGGAGTATGTCATCTAAGTTTATATGTTATAATGAAGAAGTGGTGGCACCTCTGGATGGATTTATTACCCGTTATTATGATTTTATACCATGCATGCATTCATGTTCACATTCGAGATTGGTGCCCTTTGTTCTGCATTTATCGACTTTTGGTACTTTTGGCTGATAGAGAATGCTCCCATCAAATATACCATTGCTTTTATGAGTTCTAATCTTAATTCCTATCTAATTGAGTTAGATATTGTATGGCTTAGGATTTTGAGCATTCTGACTTCTCAAATAACCAATGAACTCAGACATTTACCTTTTAGGCAATGGCCTTGTAACCATTGCCATTCTATTTTTGTATTTAGGGTCCTATGACGGGTTCATTTAGCCCAATCTGTGGAGGGACAATGAGCCCAACATCCCTGAACCTTACGCCTTCTTTACTCCTCCCATCAATGCAATGTATTCTGCAGCAGAACATCCTGCAACGGGTCTGCTTTGCTTATCCTTCTTACTTGTATTGGTAATGCTTCAAAATAAATATTTATTTTATTCATTATTGCTGACAGGAAGAAATCGTTAAATTGATCAAGTATTTGGAACAATTGACTGGTATTTCTCCTCTTTTTGTTTTTATACTTCCTCTTTTGGCACCTTCTCTTCTATTATATTTTTGTTGAGTCCTTGACTGACACAGGCAAGAATCCAGATGTATCAGAGACGGCCACTAGTGACCCTCTGCAGGTATAGAGATGAATTTGAATTCTTTATTAATGTTGCAAAAAACACTACTGGTACATAATTGAGCCTGTTTTTATAATTCCTGACCTCCTGCTGGTATATAGATGAATTTGATTTCTTTATTAATTTTGCAAAGAGCTGCCAACTACTGGTACATAATTTAGCTTGTTTTTCTAAAAAAGGAATTATAAAGAAACCAACTTCCATTGAGAAGAAATAGAATACAAAAAGAAAAAAAAAGAAAAAAAGGGAAATCCAATTACAAAAGGAGCAAACAACAAACAGCAGAGGGTAACAAACTATGCAATTACAGACAAGGCTCCAATTTAAAAGTACAAGAGATTAAGCTTAGTCATAGAAATCCTTAGTAACTACTAAGAACAAGATATTTCATGCCGAAGGCTGCCCGAGCATGGCCATGGCTCATTATTGAATCCAGTGATTTCTGCCTTTTATATTACATATTCTAGGCTACCCCATCAAGTGATGGTTTCTTTGATGTCCAGATACCACCGGCTTCCTTGAGGGAAAGAGAGTTACAGTCTCAGGTCCTTCATCTGCAGCAGAGGTGTAACTTCAAGTCCGATGAATTCAATTTGCCTTTTTACTTCAAAACCAGATTCTCGTGGAACTAATATTCTGTTATTTTCTAATTTCAGGATTGATAATCTCAACGAGGAATTAGAGAAGCAGAAGTTGAAAAATGCCGAGGTTTTTTTTCTTTATCATATTTGACTGGATATTCGAGTTAATTCTGTTTAATTGCCTTGAACCTGGTAGGTTATGTGATGAAAGCAATCGGTCTTTATGTGTTTTCTCTTTTCATTTTCACAGTTCGAAAGACACGTGATTTCTATGGCAAATAAAGAGAAAACATAAAAGTAAGCAAGTAAAGCGCAATGGTTAGATATCATCCTGATGCCTTCGCTCCTTGATTATTCTTTAGTAATTCATGTGTGGCCGTCTCTGTCTGCAAGAAATTCCAGTGGATGATATGAGCCAATCTTTATTGTATTTGTAGTGTACTATAAATGTGATGTCAAAGGGCAGACACCGAAAATTTTGTGATGTTCTTTTATGTATTTCCCATGTATCTTGTAATGCTTATCTTGTAATATATTGCAATTTCTGTTTTCTTATAAAGAATAAGTCAAACTTAACCTACAGTTAATTTACAGAATATTGAATGATATTCTTATGCTCTTTTCATTCCTAATGATTGCTTATGACTTACATTCAAGATCATAGGTTGTACCAAGTATTTGTACTCTTAACAGCATCGGAATGTAATAAATGTCCTCTCAAGAACCTGTTGTGAAGGGCAACATTTGAAGCCAATAGCACGGCTATCATAGACAAATGTTACAGATGGAGCTCGACCTTAAAACCTTGAAAATAATAAATGCCATCCTAACCTGTTCTTGAATTATACTTAAATTGGTATCAACTATTTTAACTTCGAAATCAATGAAATTTGTTCCCTTTGTTTTCTCTGGAAAGAAAAACTGTCATTTTTAGCAGTGTTTCGAGTAACTAAACTCAGTGTTTCTTTCAATCTAATTGTTTCGTGTTTTATACTACAATTCTATCTTTTAGCCTCCGAATTTTTAGTAAATTTTACATTTATCTTTTGGTGTGAATATCCCTATATTCATACTTGAAATTATTTAATAGTTTGAAATTTTTGGCTTTGGAACCTTCCATTGTAATGCACACCGAGATGATTTTAGTCACCTACGAAAAGCACAATAACCAATGGGAAACATCCAACTTAGGCATACGAAAAACACAATAACCAATGGGAAACATCCAACTTAGGCATATTCGAGTTAGAAGTTCAAATTTTCATTCATACATTGTGAAATTAAGAAAAATAGCTAACTCACAATCTTCTATTGAAATCTCCTCCTTATCTATTATCCATAACTCGCACAATCTTCCATTGAAATCTCCTCCTTATCTATTATCTATCATCTTATTGGTTGTGAAAAGGTCGAACACGAGGGAGGGATCATTTACCAATAAAAGCTTCAAAACTATCCCTCCAACCACCCACCCACCCACCAAAAGATATGCTAAAAGGTAGAAATATATATATATATAACTTTACCAAAGTGAACATGGTTCTAATGCAAATTTTTAACAGATTCTTTTCCCTTTTTTCTAATGAGCAAAAGTCAAATACTACCAAAGTCTATTCTCAGACACAGCAGAAAGTATGCCTCTCATGGTCTCCTGCAAAGCCGGAAGAATTCATTTAGACTCACTCAGTTTACTAATGATGGAAGAAAAACATGGTTGATTAATTACCACAGAATGGTCTTTGAGGCCAAGAGAGATTAATAATGGCTTGTATGAACCTGATAAACTGCAGAAACAAAGAATAATTTCAGCATGTTATTATTATTTTATAGGAAACAGAACCCATTTCATTGATGAATGAAATAGATTACAAAAGAAAGTCTAGTTCTAGCTGTAAATAATTACCTACGAAACTACGTCCATTAGTCATGAGGGTCGATAAGCTATAGTTACAAAAAGGTGGAGAAAGTTTACTCCAAGATAAAACAAGAAACAAGAAACAAGAAACAATAAAATGTATGCTTTGTTGCTTATCAGTGAAGATGCGTGTGTTCCATTTCAGCTATAAATTCCAGTAAAAAAACAGAGAAAAAGTTGCATCAAAGGATTTTCTTCTCCTTCTTGAAGGAACTGCCAACGAGGGACATGTTAAGGAGGGTGAAGATCTCTTCGGGTCTTGTTACAAACAAACTGAATGAATCTTATAGGAAAGCTCAAAAAGAAGGCGAAGGGACAGTTGCTGAGAAGATGAATACAGAGTTTCTTGATCCTTAATACAAAGGTAGCAGCAGCTCGGTGAAACAGCAATCCATAGGAATTTTCGTTGGAGTTGTCTCAAATATTAATGCAAGTATGACTATGTTCCCAAATAAAGAATTTAAATTTTATGGGTGGGCTAATATGATTACATGGTATTTGAATATCCATCTTGATGGGGCGTAAAAGTTCTAAGCTTCCAATATTCAACACATCAATAAATGCATCCTAAAAATCATACAGGTAGCTCTACTCCAAGTAAATGTCGGTAAGTAGTAGTCAAAATCCCTTCTTTCCATAAAGTTCTCCCTCCCATTGAAACTGGAATTACCAAGCATCACTACAAAAAGATCCTACCCCTCTAGTTTCTCACAGTACCCACTTAAAAAGGTTAAAGACCTCGAGCTGTTATGCCTCCCCGATCACACAAACTTACCATAGAAGGGATAAGAATGGAGATTTACAGAAGACAGTTAGTTAGTGGGCAGGGGGATTGTTCGTTGTATGGAAGAGGATGTTCAGTGAGTTTTTGTGAGAAACTTAAACTCTTGTTGGAATGTCTCAATAGAACAAATAACAGTGTTGTTTGTGTCCATTGTTGTCTCGTACGTGTTTTATCGACATTTGCAGGAAGTTTCGAAGGAGGGAACAAAGCACTCTCTCACTAAGCCTCAAGCCAGTTAAGGAAACAAATCTTTTAGATGCATCTCTTGAAGGACAACCAAGAAAGCTCAAAGCTCCCACATGTGGAAAGAAGCATTTCCATAAATCAGAACCAGACAAGTCAAGATCCCAAACTTTTACAAGTAGCTATTGCTTTCAAAGTAAGACAGGCTACCTATTTAATAGAAATATTGCATGTTTTGGTTATCGCAGATTCCAAAGTCCACGCGTATACATGTCCAGAAGTCAGATCTTCATATTCAGACCGTAAAGTTTGACAATGTTGAATTGGAAGGTTTACCTGATTTGTTCGATCAACTGACGTGCACAAGCGATCAGCATTGCCTGCAAATTACATGTATTAGTCACAGTATAATTCAGTAATAACCTAGCGTAATGGACTTGCCTCGTTTCTTTTCCCAAAAACAGTTGACACTGAGAAGGTTGGATGAATTGCCATCCCCTCCTCCTTCCTGAGGAAGGTAACATATAAATGTCTAAGAAGCATCTAATGTAGCATAACCAAATAACAAAATGCTATATTTTAGCCTTTATTGAAACATTTTATTTGTACCTATGAATCTTAATGTATTATTGTAACAGCCCAGGACCACCCACCGCTAGCAGATATTGTTCGCTTTGACCCGTTACGTATCGCCGTCAGCCTCATGGTTTTAAAACGCGTCTACTAGGGAGGAGTTTCCACACCCTTATAGGAAATGTTTTGCACATAGCCCAGTGTCCGGCTCTGATACCATTTGTAATAGCCTAAAGCCACCACTAGCAAATATTGTCCACTTTAACCCGTTATGTATCGTCGTCAGCCTCATGGTTTTAAAACGCGTCTACTAGGGAGAGGTTTCCACACCCTTATAAAAAAATGTTTCGTTTTCCTCTCCAACCGACGTGGAACCTCACAACTATCAAGTCATTAAAGTATGTCCTCTCATACCATCTTAAGCATTTTTTTAGTTCAACAATTGTAAGGGTGGAGAATGAACTAATGATCTTTGAGATAGTAATAAGCTTTTTATCTACTAAACTATGCTCAACATTTTATCACAAAAACCTTAAAATAGAATTGCTCACCTGGCTTGCAGCATAGTCCCCATTGCCCCAATTTGAGTTGCAATAACCTTAAAATTAGTTTCAAACATCAGAGATGGAAACAACACAAATCCCAAAAACCCCATTTCCTCATCCACCCCCAACAAACATATGCACTAGTAGTAATAAAGAAAACCAAACTCCTACTGACGAGAAAATGATCATCATGGCGACAAATGACTATATCTGTTTTGATTCCCTGAAAGCAGAAGATATATGAATGAGGTTACTTACTGCCTGAGCTAACCAAAAATGACAAGTAAAATGCTTTGAACTTGAACTAGAACAAGAACATAGGCACTGGAATCCACAGATGCCCAGAAAATAGGAATACGATGTAAGTCGTAGAATATTGCAAGAGATGTAATGCTTCATCAAAATCAAATAACCATAGAATCAAGCATTTTCTTCAAAACCCCTTTACCCGATTCTACAATAACACGCAGGAAGAAGCTATCTACTTCAAATTCGTTTCTATATCATCAAAATCCAAGCTACCCATCTGCAAACAGGCGACTCGCCAGTCTGCTTGATAAAAGCCTAATAAAACTAGCAGCGGCATTAAAGCAAACAGGTTGTGGGCAAACGCGAATTCCTTTGAATTAACCCTTCAGAAAAGTGGAAAATGAAAAAACCCAAATCCCGAATTCCTTCAAGAAATGTAGAGAACGGATTAATTGAATCCGGAGCAAGTAAACCATACCTTAATCTCCATTGACGCCTGCTTGTGGGAGACCGGAAAGCGGGCACCCGAAGTTTCCATGGGGAAGGAAGAATCAAAGCTGGGTGACTGGGGTCAATTGAATCGAGTTGCTTCCCGCACTAACTTACAAACTTTGAAGTTCAATCCACCTCCCGCTCCCAGTTGCTTGTTTTTAGGCCCACTGCAAATACTAATTAAGATTGAACATAATCGTCCATTTACTGTATTAAAAGAAATTAATCGAGAAAGCTTTTAGCTAGTCAACGTAGATCAAGACATAAACTTTTCATTTGTTTAGTTAAAAAATAAGATTAAAATCACTACACCAATGGAATTATATTTAGATTAATATCTTAACACAATTTTAGAATTACATTATCCATTTTTTTTAATATAATATTTATAAAATAAAAATATACAACTAATATCAAATAAATATTGAAGAGGGAACAAAATAGAATATATGAAGTAGTTTAAGTATTTATTTTTTATTTTTTTATACTTAAAAATGATTAATACGTCATTAATCTATTAAATATATTTAAATTTTCATGTGCACAAAAGCACGTGCCCAAATTCACATAATTTTCTGTATTTATTTATTTATTTATTTTCCTGCGCCTTCCCGGAAAATGAGGCGAAGAAGATTGGATTGAGCCGACGCCTAATAATTCCAACGACTTTTTAAAATATTTAATTTTAATATTTATTTTCCCGCAGTCTAAATTGAACGCCCCCAATCTTTTTTTTTTTTTTTTTTTTTTTTTTTTTTTTTTTTTTTTCTTTTTTCCTTTCTATAAATACGCGAAATCCCACGTTAACGACTACGAACAAATTTTCCCTCGCTATCTCACTCTCTCTGTCCTCTAGATTTTCAGTGTAATCGGCGAAATGGGTGTTTTATTTCGTTCCGAGGAAACCTTGGTATCGGAGTTGGAGCAGCTCCGCCGCAAGCTCGTTGCCTGCGGCGGCATCCAGAGGAGGAAGGACGGCGAAGAGTTCAAAAGTCTCAAGTCGAAGCTGATTGACGATGCAGAGGAGAAAGTCGTGTGTGTAACTAGCGGCGTTTCGTTTCTTGGTTCCGCCATCGTTAACGAGCTCTTAGTTCATGGATACTCTGTTCGAGTCATTGTTGATAATCCTGGTGAGTGATTGAAGCTCTTTTGAGTCTTCGATTTGAATTTAATTTCGTGTATCTTGTAGCGTAATCGATCAATTTCAATTGGTTTATGGTTGATCGGAGTAGTTTTTTTGGATTAATAGACTAATGGAAACCCTAAATGTCAGAGGATGTGAACAAATTGGACGAGACGACGAGCGGCCGCCCTAATGTGACGGTAGTTGTGGCGAAGCTTACAGATGTAAATAGCTTAGTGGAAGCCTTCAATGGCTGCCGTGGCGTTTTTCACACCTCTTCTTCCATTGATCCTGCTGGTCTTTCTGGTTATACGGTGAGGGTTTTTTGCTTTACTTTTCTTGGAGAAAGAAATTTGCTGCTATTTGATGAATGAACCATCCCTCCCCGTCGTCCTCACATCTGATAAGATCGTTTTGAATCTGTTTTCTGCATTGAGAGCTACGATTGCGTTTTATACTTCAAGAACTATAGATACAAACTTCAAATTCAGCCTAATATTAGAATACATTTGTTTGATGAAGAAATTAAAACAACATTGAATGATGCAAACACTTATTCTTAGATATAATGCGATGAAAGTGATAGTTTAAGGTGAAGTTAAGTTAAGTTTAGAGATTCAAATGGGTTAATTGTAACTGTCAAAATCTTGGGTAGATATTGTCCTTTTTAGATTTTCCATTTCAGGTTTACTGGTGTTTCGTTCTCCTCCTCAATTGATATGGGATCTCACAATCCACCCCTTTCGGAACCCAGCATCCTCGCTGGCACACCGTCCAGTGTCTACCCCATGTTGTTCCCCTACGCTAGGCCCTGAAGAGGGGTGGATTGTGAGATCCCACATCGATTATTGAGGAGAACAAAATATTCTTTAGAAGGGTGTGGAAACCTGTCCCTGATAGACGTGTTTTAAAAACCTTGAGGGAAGGAGTCAAAGAATACCATAGTTACATTATTTCTCCGGAAACTATTGAAAGTTTTCTAAAGCTATTTGGGGATTGGACTTTTGTACACAGAAAGTAATGAGCGAAGTGGAAATGAGGAGCACTGAGAATGTGATGGAGGCGTGCGCAAGAACAGAAACAGTACGAAATTGTGTTCTTACATCTTCTCTCCTTGCTTGCATCTGGCGGGACCAACCTGAGAGTACTGGAACCTCACGAGTTGTCGACCATGGTTGCTGGAGCAGTTTCCAGCTCTGCCAAGATAAAAAGGTCGCTCCCTTTCTTTTTCCTCGGTCCACCATTATGAATTTAATTACCGTAGAAAGCTTTAGAATTGAGATTAGATGGAGCTCTAACAAACAAGTTGATGATTATGCAGCTATGGTTTGCATTGGGGAAGCTAAAATCTGAAAAAGTAGCATGGAAAATAGCACAAGAAAGTGGCCTAAAACTAGCCACCATCTGTTCACCTCTCATAACTGGCTCCAACTTCCATTCCAGAAATTCAACTCCAACAATGGCTTATCTCAAAGGTAAAACTTCAAGAACAAACAACCCAGCAGAAGCTTTCATTGATTCCATTTTCCATTAACAAGAACACATTATGCATATCAAACTCAAAGTCTTCATTGATATCAATGCAGGAGCTCGAGAGATGTACAAAAATGGTCTACTGGCAACAGTGGACGTGACCAAATTGGCCAAAGCACATGTATGTATATATGAAGAATTAAAGGAAAATGGTTCCGGCAGATACATTTGCTTCGACCGAGTTATCTCGACGGTCGACGAGGCGACAAAGTTGGCAGCAGAGATCAGAGTCCCTGTCGGGACTATAGTCGAAACCACCCTTCCAATCGACTCGCCAATACCGTTTCAATTGTCGAACAAGAAGGTATCCGATCTAATGTCTAGAAGTAACCTTGGACGTAGCTGTTTGAATGAAAACAGATTTTATTGAAGGGAAGAACTTGCAATCTTCACTTGCAGTAGATTATTGTAGAAATGAGCTTCTTGATGAGGAAGTATATGCTTCATTCTTTCTTTTAAATATCATTCATATACAATGTGAAATGTATACCATTTTTTAAAATATCATTCATATAGAGTCCCTGTTGGGCTTACCTTGTTCGTGCTCCCTTTCCGCTGCTATCTCTGGTGGATGTTCTGTCTCGAGGGAGTCGTACGCTCCCTATGCTTACTAAAATAGTCATCTTCCCTGATTATAAATCAAATAAAAATTTCTCGCAAAAATTGATAATCAAAAAATCGGAACACAATGCTTATGTTGGTGCTTGAATATAGTTGGCTTATAGCCTCCACCAATGCTAGTTCTATCTGCCCCCTTCACGTCTTTTGGGAGTTCTTATATGTAGAACCAATTACTAAAATACCCCCAAGAAGACCGGGCTAAATCGAGAGAAAATCTCTTTTTTATGACTTCCATATGGAAGAGTGGGATTGAGAAAGAGAAGGTACTCCGAGGGATCAAAAGTAGCGACGAGTTAATCAAAAGGAGCAAGTTTGTAATTCCATAAGTTTAGATTTTTGTAATGTTGGTTACCGAGCTTAAATATTCTTAATATTGTTAAAAGTAGAGTAGGGTATTGGGTTGGTCGAGTTAAACCTTTTTTAATTTTACTGGACCATATGAACACCCTTATGCACAATTAAAAAATCATGGTTCGATTTCACCAATCTAAATCTTATATAGAAAGTTGTCTCTAACCATAGCTATTCGAACCTGCATTTTTTTAATGAAAGTTAAGGATCGAATTCAAATGATGCCCAACACAATTAAATTCAAATGTCAAATGTCAAATACTATAATTATGAAAATGAAATGAATAGGAAAAGTTTTGTCATTGTTTTGTGTTACAGACACAGCCATGTTGGGTCTGTTTTCCATATTAGTGGTCTTCATAAGACCACATTTCATTATTTATATTTTAAAACATTAAGAGACCCAAATTAAAATGAACTTTTATAATAAAGTTGAGATATAATTATAAAAATAATAATTTGATTGGCTTAAGATTGAAAAGATATTTGACTTTACATTTCAACAATTTATGAAAACTACATTTATTACGCATTAATTATAACATAATGTCTAGTGAATGGTCTTATTCGTTATGGAACAATTTTGCTTTGCTCTACTCTCTGTCTAATTTTTATGAATTTTGGAACTCTTTTGCATAGGAATTTGTTTTGTTTTTTAATTTTTAATTTTTAATTTTTTTTGGTGGTTCAAAAATATTATTTTATTTTATTCCCTCATTTACGAAAAATAAAATAAAAGGAAGCTATAAAAATAAAATTTCATTAATACCCTTTAATTTTTTTAAACAATTCAAAAATATTTTTACTAATAGTACTGTATTAAAAAAAAAAATACCATTTTAAAAGTAACATTAACACCATTTGCATTTATAACAAAAAAAAAAATTAAAATTAATTGTCAATATATGAACGAAAATTGTTCATCGATATTTCATAGATCATCTACAAATATTTTAATGTCACTTTGAATTTTTAACTATTTTAGTTTAAGTATATTATTAAAAAAAAAATTAAAATTTATAAGAAGGGTATTTTTATTAATTTAAATTTATTTTATTTTTTATTAATTTAAACTTATTTTATAATTAGTAAATTTTTTAGCATGACTTTAGAAAGAAAAACAATTAGCGTTGAGACATTAATATTAATAATTTATTATTGATTGTTAATGAATATATAAATATATTAAATATTTAAATGCTTGTATGGGAAATCCACACTAATTAATAATTATTAATTAAGAAAGCTGTAAGTACCGATTTAAGCAAAGAAAAAGAGTGAGTCAAAAAAGCAAACGCAAGGGGGTGGGTTGGCTGTGGGCGCACGTGCCGCGGCGTACCCTCCGAGTGCATCAGCCATGCACACTAAAATAATTTAACCCTCAATTACTTTATTTACATAATTAATTCTGTTACCTTACTTTTTTTAATCTTCATCTTTAATTCTTCCTGCATTAAAATATTAAATATTAACCGACAAAATATGATACCAATATGCATTATTTTAACTCTCATTTTTTTATTATTTCAAGTTTTAAATCCATT